ATGAATATAACAAATGAATTACAGCTTAAAGTTAAGTTTTATATCAAAAGTAAGGCTTTTGGTAAGAAGTTTGTCTTATGTCAAGTTCCTTTAAAGTATGTATTTTGAATCTGAATTCTAAATGGACCGTCTTTCTAAAACAGTTTTTAAGAAATCACAGCAAAGAGTTAGAAATTTGTTTGGCAACTAGAGGCTTCTGGATTTCCAAGACTGTGCAGAGCCATGAAATATTGTTTATGATTTTTATAATTCTTGGGTAACATATGTATAGAATAAATATTGTTGCAAGTTGGGTTCAACATACAGAGAGAAAGTTTGACATGAGACAATAACAATCTCACAGAAAACTCCATTGGTTAATAGAAGGGTGTCAGAAGGCTTTGGACTTAGTTAAAATTGGGATTTAAAGAAGGGATTAGTTCATTTTTGGCTACACCAACAAACTCAAATGATTGGATACACTAACAAATTCAGTCCATTTAACTTATTAACTCACTTTTTACTTGGCAAGGTCTTGGCAAGCATCCTACAAGAAATTGTCAGACGTTTTTTCATTTTTTAAGCAAGTGGCTGAAGGAAGCATTCTGTCCTGTTTCTGATAGTCCATTCCCTTTAAACAATGCACCATTGACATTTTCTTTTTAATTATGTCCTCTTTGTCTTAAAAGTCTTCTTGAAAGTTGTTTTTTGTAAAATAAATGTGACATGTATATTGTCCAATTTACCTAGATCTAAGGAAGCAAAAATTTGCAATGTCAAATTTTATGTCATCAGCGCTTTCTCATCAGAATTGTGTAATCAATAATTTATTTTGATTGGGACATATGTGCCTAGGGTGTGAGTTTAGATTTGAAATATGAATGATTGCTAGTTTTCTTTAAGACTGATACACATTTAAGTTCATTTTATATGAATGTTTACCATGTCCTAATGAAACAAATTTAGACTTGTTTCTAATGAAAATACAGTTCCCTTTGAAATAAACTTTGCTTGCAACTAGCACATTCAATATCAGATTGCTGTTTGTTTTGTCAGGCATTTTTTGTCAGCCAAGTGTCATAAGGAGAAATTATATACTATTATTATATATTATTTATCAAGAAAAACTATTTAAAAGAGCATCTTAAGAATATTGTATGCCCATGGTTAATCGAATATTAGGGATATGAATAATTGTTGCCAAGCCTTTTGAAGACCTGCTGAGAAAACAAAAATTTCCATAATCAAAATTCGAGTAATATTTGGCCAGCAAACCATACCTGTAACCAGCTCAGCTTTTATGATGGCAATTTTAAATGCAAACCTAGATTTAAAGGGGTGCTTTCTCAAACTGGTGTTAACCCACGTTGGTCTGTGAAGCACCAATCAGCAGACATGCTGAAATATCTATCGTTAAATAAATTGTTTTCTCATAATCATTATTAAAAAGTACCGTTTTCCACAAACTAGAGTGGTTCATTTTAATTTCCAAAGCCGAGAATTTATTTCAGAATACAGCTGCCTAAGCCTTGTCTCTGTTTTTTGGTATTATATAATTTTCTGATATTTTTTTCTAGATGCCATCATTAGGCAGCATAGGTGTAGACAGCCTGTTGGTGGTATCCATCTCAGGTATGTAAAGCATCTCAGGTATCCATTTATAGGTATCAGGTACAATTTTACTCCCCCCCCCCCCAAAGAGCTCGAATTACACAGAGTTACCAGAGGATTTAAAAAGAGGACTCCTGTTGATAACTTTAGTTCTACTTTAAAGCTTTATGTCTTGTCAACAACCGAAGATCACAATCACTTTCCCCTTTACCAATCGCAGTAAAAAACGTTTTAGATAAATGCATTTCATCAATTTTTCATAAATTTTTTTCAAATGCTGGCAGTTGATTTATTTCATTTATATTCATTATCCTTTTTTATAATTTAGGATTGAGTGCAAAGGATCTGAAAAAAGGATTTTTTGGTAAACCGAATCCTTATGTCCGTATGTGTATTGTTCCACGATTCCGCGGTCTGGCTGTCATTCAGAAGTATCATGGTCAGCAAGCGAAAACTGTTCCGCAAAATAGCACAGTAAATCCATGCTGGAAAAATGAGGTATTTCATGAAATATTTATCTTGGAATAGGAAGTGCAAAGTTTTCTACCTTACCATGGTGGGCATGGTTCTGTTAAAGAATATTCTATTTAAGGAGTATAGCAGATATACACTGATTTTATAGAGTTTTTTTTCGGAAATCCAACCAACCATCGGATTTTTTACTAGCATGTTTATTTGCACTGAGACAATGTGCAAAGATTTCCTGAGTTGACAGATTCCTCCAGGCTCTGCTTGGCAAATAGGATAATTTTGTACCAAATCCCTTCCTTTCCCAGTAATTGAGTTTTGTATATATGTCTTTTTTGGAAGGAGTTTCTTGTATATAAATTATATAGAAAACACATTATTTAGAAGTATGGATTTATTTCCATTTGATTATGTTCTGTGATGAAACGATGAAATTACGGAACAAGACAGGTACAAAACTGCTTATTGTTGTCAGGCCAGAATACTGTTGGATATATTATCAATTTTTTCCTTTTCATTTTTCTGATTCATATTTTGTCCTATTAATCTTTAAAAAAATCTTTACCGAAAAAAACCCTTACCTAATTGCCGGATTTCCCTTTCAAATCCGAAAAATCTAGATTTAACTGTATTCTTAAAAGCCTTTTCTCTTTATTACATTGTATCCAAGGACCATCATTCATATTATTCTCAGACACTTTGGCCATTCTGTGTGTTCAATATTGACAAAAAAAATCATCAAGTTCTGGTTGGCTTTGCATTTTCAATATATTCGACTTTAAACAAAGCTAGATAAAAAAGGTTATGTTAAAAACCTAGTTGTTTTTTGTTTAGAAGAAATCGGAAATAGAAGCTTCACTTTTAGAGAACTATTCCCTGATTTGTTGAGTGAATTTGTCCCAGCCAATAGAAACAGTTAACTCTGATATAATATATAGCTTTAAATGATTGCTGAACTTTTTATGAGAAAGGGAAACAGAATATGCAGTTAAACCATGAAATAAGAAATAGACGCCAATATAAAGCTTTGGTGTTGAAAGGCTTTAGGTTGCATAATGTCGACCAAAGAATGGGGGCGGGGTGGGGGGGGGGGGTTAAGTGTAAATGGATCAGAAGGTGAAATATCTACTGTTTTGGCCCCTTTTACACAGTGACAGTGAGATTGCTATATGTTTTGGAAAAATCTAATATAAGCGATTCGGTAGATCTTTAGCTTACATATTTGCTTGCTTGTTTTAAAATATAATGTGACAAAGTAACTTGAAATTAAGGTAAAATTATATTAGGAAAAATAGAATTTTAGAATTAAAAATTTTGCGTTTGTTTTTAAAATTTGCTATTTTTTCCTAATGCACTTTTCCCTTAATTTCAAGATAAAGTTTATATTATTGTAATTAGTTTCCTTTTTATTATTTGTTTTAGTAGAATTTTAATTTGTGAATTTTTTAACGCGGCCCTCTGAAAGGCAGTCATTCTGACTGACGGGGCTACCATGCCTAAATAATTTCAAATGAAAATGAATTCTGGTTGCAAACTCATCTGCCAAAGCGTAAATACCTTTAACCGTTAGAAGTTGTGCCGAAATGAAGATTCTGGCAACCCAACTAGGTTTTGTCTCTTTGACGCAACCAAAATCCGCCCTCAACCAGTGCTTGGTCCGTACCTTGTAAACAACATTTGTTTGGATCTGTATAAATGCAACTGAAAGATGTTAGTTTAATACAAGATCGAAATCGTACCTAATTTTGTAAACTTGTCTTTTTCATCTGCTTTGAAATCGATTCTGACACAGACATCGTGATTTCTGGATGTCTATGGTAATATATTAAACAGATCCTGTAAGCCCTTTGATTACTTTCTGGGGTTTTAAGTATATTTGTTACTTTGCATATAAGCTAACATTGTGTAATGTCCCATTGGCGTTTACCCTGGCCCGTTGGCGTGTTCGCTGGTTAAGCGAGAGACTTCCCATTTCAGGCAAGGATGTCAAAGACTAAAGGATACTTCATAATCAAATGATGTTTTCTCTTTCGACAATTTCTTTGACTATACCTTCTGTTTTTTAAGATATGCATCTATTCCCTTAAAAACGTATTTACATGGGACCCTGTGAACCGCATGCCATAGAGAGCCACATACTGTAGAGGACCACATACTATAGAGAACCATATGATATAGAGAACCGCAGGCTATAGAGAACCATTTGCTATAGAGAACCGCAGGCAATAGAGAACCATTTGGGATAGAGAACCGCAGGCAATAGAGAACCATTTGGGATAGAGAACCGCAGGCTATAGAGAACCATTTGCTATAGAGAACCGCAGGCAATAGAGAACCGCAGGCTATAGAGAACCATTTGATATAGAGAACCGCAGGCTATAGTGAACTATTTGGGATAGAGAACCATTTCCCCTCCTGTAGTCTCTTCTGCCACACACAGAAGCTCTCATTGTGCCTCGGAGTTTAATGCACAGTAACACAATTTATAGGCCCATGGGTCAGTATACGGTTATGTTTTTCAGTTGCAAAATTCAAAGTCGTATAAAATTATATATAGAGCTATTGGCATTAATGCTGGGTAATAGGATATTTCTGTTTCTTTAAAATGTCTGAAGCTAAGTATCTTTTGTTAATCAAGAAGCGATTTCCATCTTGACATATCTAGTCGGTCTCCTTCCTCTCTAGGTTTTTGTCTTCCATGCCACTCCTGCTGATTTTCTTGAAGTTGAAATCCGGAACAAATCTGGTACAAGGTTTAGCAAATTTCTCGGAAAAGTATCGTTTCCATTATGCACAATTATGGACAGTTGTGGATATAACAAGTGAGTTTCAGTTCGTTTTCAATTTATCTTTTTAACCATTATGTTAAAGAAGATCCACATTGGTTACTATTATTTTAAATTTGACATCTGATGGCAAAAAATCGTTATTCATTTTCAACCCTAGCTGTTATGGGACGAACCTAATAGTGAGGGAAATTGAGATGGCAGGAAAGAAAATCTTGGATTCATAGATCTATTGACACGCCTGCAACTCGGACTTCATCAACCAAGTCGACGATAATGGAATGATTGATTTTTTTGCATCAAGAATCAAATAGGAATCAAAATCAATACTTGTTTCTTGGCGGCATGCTTCATTACATATATCCAAAAAATCTGGCGCTGAAACATCTCAACTGCGTAAAATTAGGTTGCTTTAAATATCGTATAGTGTACGACGACGAAATATTTTATTGAAAGATAAAATCGCATGTATTGCCGCCAAGTAAGTCTTTCTTAAAAAACAATCAAGGGTAGCAGTCCATCATTTAGTAGTGGTGCCAAAGTTGTGTCCCGTCAAGCAATACACCGCAAGCTAAAGTGGAGACGTAAGGCCCTTGGCCTCCATCATCTGTTGTGGTCCGTGCCATGAATGCAGTTTACGTAGGAATTTTTTGTTTTTTGATAATTCAGAGTTCAGAGAAGCTCTCACGGAATAAAATTACAATTCATTCGATCAGGATTTCTAGGTGCTTAGAATTGTTGGCAGCAAAATGTTTTACCCTTCTCGGCCAAATTCGGCCAGCCAAACAAAATATACAAACAGGGCTTGAAAAAAGATTTTTCTTCCTGGCAGCAAAATAAAAAATTCAAGATTTCCTGCGAAGCTTCGACAAAGTTTTCAGGCACTGAAAGTGATA